CCGCCACTGGTCTGAATTTTTCTTCTTTGTTGCCATAGTTACATCCATACTTTAATGCATTTCTATGGCAACGAAACGGGTCTACTCGTATTTGCGTCTCAGTCGACTCGTCAAGGGCCAAAAAAGGGGTTTTAAAAGAAGTTTTGTTTTTTGAGCAAAATAAGTCGAGAAACCACAATATTGGGTTTAAAATTGTACTGTTTTTTGCGAGATTTTGTGTAAATAAAACAAAAAACTACAAATTAAGTTAAAAATTATTTTATTTTTGATGCAGTTTTCAGGCGTTTTTTTACTGAAATGGCAATTATTTCGCAAAATTTTGTTAAAAACAAGACAAGAAACAAAGAATTTGGCCAAATTTTTGCATTTCTCGAGCATTTTAGCAAGTTTTTAAGTTAGAAAATTTGAAAAACAAGGCAAAAATTCAACAATATAGGCCAAAAATTAGCACGTTTTTGCAAAAATCATTTTTACGAATTTTTAAGCAAGACAAAAATTTAAATAAAAGGGGCTATTATTTCAAACCTTTGAGGTTAGGCAACTAAAAATACACATTACTACACAAATGTAACAATTTTGATTTTTTTGAGTAAAAAGTAGAAATTTTAGCAAAAAAATGCTTAAGATCCGCCACTGGTCTGAATTTTTATTCTTTGTTGCCATGGTTACATCACTACTTTGGTGCATTTCTATGGCAACGAAACGGGTCTATTCGTATTTACTTCTCAGTCGACTCGTCAAGGGCCAAAAGAAGGGTTTTAAAGGAAATTCTGTTTTTTGAGCAAAATTAAGTCGAGAAACCACAATATTTGGTTTAAAATTGTACTGTTTTTTTTGTGAGATTTTGTCAAAATAAAACAAAAAACTACAAATTAGGTCAAAAATTATTTTATTTATGCAGTTTTCGGACGTTTTTTTAATAAAAAGGCAATTGTTTTACAAAATTTTGTTAAAAACAAGACAACAAACACAGAATTAGGCCAAATTTTTGCATTTCTCGAGCGTTTTGGCATTCTGTTTTTTAAGCAAAATTAAGTCGAAAAACCACAATATTTGGTTTAAAATTGTACTGAAATCTTAGAATTTTTTGTGAGATTTTCTCAAAACAAATCAAAAAAACAACAAATTAAATCGAAAACTATATTATTTTTGCATTTCTCGGGCGTTTTAGCATGTTTTTGAGCTAGAAAATTTGAAAAACATGGCATAAATTCAACAAAATAGCCCAAAAATGATGTCATTTTTACCTTTTTTGAGTGTTTGAGCAGGTTTTTGCAAAAATCATTTTTACGAGTCTTTGACCAAGACAAAAATTTCAATGGGCTATTATTTCAAACCTTTGTGGTTATGCAACTAAAAATACACATTACTATACTTGTCGACATAAGTGTAACCATTTTGATTTTTTTGAATAAAAAGTAGATTTTAGCAAAAAATGACCCGCCATTGGTCTGAATTTTTATTCTTTGTTACCATAGTTACATCCATATTAGAGTGCATTTCTATGGCAACGAAACGAGTCTACTCGTATTTACTTCTCAGTCGACTCGTTGAGGACCAAAAAGGGAATTTGAAAAAATTCATTTTG